ATTATGGAAGGAAATTTTTTTGTTTTTCCTTGTAGTATTTAAATATTAATACATAAATTATTTTTTAATAAATAATTTTTACTTTGAGTCTTTTATCACAACCCAAGATGCTTTACTTTAGGATCTTTACCCTTTTCATCATGTTTGTGACTTCATCTTAGTTGTAACAATTTTCTTTTATTCAAAGATGAATACTAAGATCCTCGAGAGGCATATACTCTTTATGACTCAGGAGCGTCTAAGATTGTATTTTATTTAATTTAGTTTTGCTAATTTTAGTTGATTTAGGATTTATTTTCTTTATTCTATTTAGATTAAGATTTTTTTCTTATTTTCTATTAGGATTTTAATAGTTTTAAGGATTATTATTTGATTAGGCTAGTCATGTTATATTTTATTTAAGTCTCTTGTTAACTATTCTAATTATATTATACAACTAGAAGTAGAGTTCTATTAAAATATGAGCCTATAATACTATAAATAAGACCTTAGGCTTAGTTATGAGACACTTAAGTTGAGAGTTAATAAATAATGTTTTCTTAAGCAAGAATACTTATTTCTCTAGACTCTTTGTAAAGAGTAAGAGGTCTTTAGTATCTTTGGCTTAGTCAACCAAAATGAGATTTTGATTATTTTCACCTTAGTGAGGTTTTCAATTTTTCGAAGATTGGTGATTCATTTTAGTGGGGTTTCCAAACCTCATCATGATTTGTGTCTTTCAGAACGCTTAAGTCCTTTTACAATACCCTGACGTCAATTTAGTATCAGAGTGAGAGGATCATTGTTCGCTGTGTAATTCAGGTTCGCTGTCGGATTTCTATACTCCTTGTCAGGGAATTCTATTTCTTTTATTGTTTTATAGTTATATCATCATCTTTTTTCTACATCACCATATCATCATCACCATACAATAAAATGCTGCCAAGATGTCAAAATTGTCAAAGAAATGATCATGAGATTGAAAATGCAGAACTACGTCAGCAAATTCAAGAATTACAAGAGCAACTCGCAAGATATGATGCTCAAATCAACAATAACAGCTCTAGTGAGAAAAAGAATAACACCAACGTGTTTTATCAAAATTCTTCCTCTAATGAAGAAGTACTTATTTGTTACTTGAGAACTGCTACTACCAAAGATTTGAGAATCAAAGTCAACATTTTTAAGTTTAAAGGAAGACTTGACCTTGATGACTTCCTTGACTAGCTCTACATAGTGAAAAGAGTTTTCGAACTCAAAGATATTCTAGATGAAAAAGTGTGAAGCTTGTGGTAATTAAATTGAAGAAGCATGCTTCTATTTGGTAGGAAAATCTCAAAAGGCAACGAGAAAAAGAAAGCCGCGACAAGATTAGAACATGAGATAAGATGCATCGAGAACTCAAGCGTAAGTCCTTTCTTGAGCATTATCGAGAAGAAATTTTTATCAAATTTCATAACTTAAGGCAAAAAACAATATCGGTGGAAGAATATACAATAGAATTCGAACAACTTCACATGAAGTGTGATGTCCATGAGCCTGAAGAACAAACTATAGCACATTATCTTGGGGGTTTCAATGTTGAAATTGTAAATGTTGTTCAACTACAACCATATTGAAAGTTAAATGATGTCATTAGATTAGCAGTAAAGGTTGAGAAACAACAATCATGGAGATGCTTAGTGAGTTCATCTAGACAATAGAAATTTACCTCAAACCATGGAAGTCAAAGTTCAACAACTATTCCGCCTCTAAAGGTAAACTCTTCTAAAATTGCAAGCAGTAATGATAAAAAAACTACTTCTACTCATGCTTCTAATGTCAACAAAAAGTGCTTCAAATGCCAAGGATTTGGGTGTATTGCTTAGGATTGTCCGAATCGAGGAATTATTTCCTTAGTCGAAAAAAAAGATTATGTGGATTGAGAAAAATTAGAACCAGTTTATGATGAATATGATGACCAAATAAAGGATAAGCTAGAAATATTCAACAACGAAGAGATAAAAGAAGTTTCTGTTGACCATGGAGAAGCTTTTGTTGTTCGTCGTAACCTTAACACTACTATGATGACTTAAGATGAAAGTTGGCTTCATCACAACATATTCTATACAAGGTGCACATCCTAAGGGAAGGTCTGTAATATCATTGTTGATAGTGGAAGTTGTGAGAATGCTGTTGCTAACTACATGGTGAAAAAAATTAAAACTTACAACTGAAGTACATCCTTATCCTTATAAGCTACAATGGTTGAGAAAAGGAAACGAAGTTAAGGTAACGAAGTGTTGTTATGTCCAATTCTCTATTGAAAATAAGTATCAAGATGAAATCTGGTTTGATGCTACCTCAATGGAGGCATGCCACTTATTGTTAGAATGCCCATGGCAATATGATCGTTGAGCTCACCATGATGACTACAAGAATACTTATTCCTTCATCAAGGATGGAATAAAAATTATGTTGACTCCATTAAAGCTAGAAGACCGATCAAAGAGACAAGAAGAAGATAAAACACTCATCATTATGTTTGGCTTAAACAAAGCTTATCGTGAGTCAAACCATTTATATCTCTTATTAGTCTCTAAGGAGAATGAAGTATCTTCACCCTTATCTAAGCATGGTCAAACAAAATTGGTCAACAAAAGTTTAGGAAACTTATTGAGAAGCTTTATGGACAACCATGTCGTAAACAAGATCATAGCCAAGTATGATTTTCCTATTCCTCGATTGGATGACATGGTTGATCAACTTATTGGTTTTGGGGTGTTTTTGAAGATAGATTTGAATAAAGGTTATCACCAAATTAGAATGCAAGTTAGAGATGAATGGAAGACACCCTTCAAAACTATGGATGCGTTATTTAAATGATTGGTGTGGACTATGATAGTATGTGGATCTAAACGTGGAGTATGTCAAGGCTTACTCGTCCGAGCCGAGTTTTTCTAACCTAAGGAGAATGATGCAGGAGCGTCTAGGATTGTATTTTATTTAATTTAGTTTTTGCTAATTTTAGTTGATTTAGGATTTATTTTCTTTATTCTATTTAGATTAGGATTCTTTTATTATTTTTTATTAGGATTTTAATAGTTTTAAGGATTATTATCTGATTAGGCTAGTTATGTTACATTTTATTTAAGTCTCTTATTAACTATTCTAATTATATTAGACAATTAAAAGTAGAGTTTTATTAAGATGTGGGCCTATAATACTATAAATATGACCCTTAGACTTAGTTATGAAACATTTAAGTTGAGAGTTAATAAATAATATTTTCTTAACTAAGAGTGCTTATTTCTCTAGGTTTTTTTTAAAGAGTAAAAGGTTTTTAGTATCTTTGACCTAGCTAACCAAAGTGGGATTTTGGCTATTTTCACCTTAGTGAGGTTTTCAACCTTATCAAGATTGGTGATTCACTTTAATAAAGTTTCCAAATCTCGCCATGATTGGTGTCTTTCATAATGTCTAGGTGTCTTTACAATGCCCCGACATCACTTTCTTATACTTTAGAAATTTCTTAGTATCTTTCCATGAAGGGGGACGTTTGTCAATTATAAAAGGCAGAACAACAACCTCATCCATATCAATATCATATATGAATATAACAAAAGTCGTTCTTTCCAACCAACATACATTTTTCATGCATATCACATACAATATCATGCATATCATGTAAGGAAATAATACTTATCTTCTAATTCGATGAGGAATCATTTTGTGATTTTCCTTGTCAACATCAATTCGGTCTAATTTTAAAAAAAAATCAGAAGCCAATTCTCTTAGTGTTCCACTTGCAATAGCCATTATTAAAATAAAATAAAACCTTAAGATTGTTGAAATACAGAATTGGAATATTAGGAAATGGCTTCAAGGCGTATAACGATACCACTTTCCTTAAGGTTTTATTCACCCTAACTTATAGTGTGCAAAAGAGTTAATAGTGTCTAAACCCTGAAGATACAATGAAGCCTAGTGGTTGATTGTATTTTGTATTGACGAAATCAATCTACTGAGCACTCACCAGAGTATGACAAGATTACCTAACTTCTATAAGATTTTTTTGCAGCAAAATAATATAAAAGAAATCAGGAGAATATTGAGAAAGGAAAGAGAGATTGTTGTTTTCTCTATTCTATGTTTTCTTTTGTCTTAAAAGAAAGTCTATTTATTCGCAAACATGTCTTTTCTCAACAAACACAAGGGTTTGTTTTCAGTAGACAAAATTGTCTATTTTCCAACAAACATAATTAGTGGTTTTTCACCATAATTATTTAAACAATTATAATTGTTCGAAGGACTTTCTAATTCTTTTCATTCTTCCATTATTATTGTTGAAAATACCCAACAATTTGAAGAACTGAGAGCCAAGCTAGGGGTTTGCAAAGCAAGTCTTAAGGAGGAGTGTTGAACTGAGACTTGCATTCAAGAAGTTTTCAAGCCAAGTCAACAAAATTGAGTCCATGCTTCACTGTTTGGTATTTGACATATTACTTGCTGTCATGCTTTTATATCAGATAGGTACCTAATGTATGGCTGAACTGATGTTTAGCCTCTGATAGAGTTTTGCAGTATTCAAGTTAGGTTTAAACTTTGTTCCTGAATCTTGTATGAAATATTTATTCCTAAGTTAATGCATATTAGGCGGATGAAGCCTTTGTTCTTCTTGCTGTGCATTTTCTTTGTTCTGTTTTGCTGCTGTTCCTCATATATGTTCAGCTGGTTCATTAGATCTCTGTTAAGCTTCATTTAAGACAAAATCCAACAACCATACCATGCACACATTTACTAAGAGAAGCTTCAAGCCAAATGGAATTTAGACCTTTCGTGATGGTAAGTAATAAACAATTGCATAACAAATATAGTACTAGAAATTAAATTGGCGGAATTTGTTTGATTCTTTGCATAAGATGCAAACATCAGATTCTGAAACAGTCTACTACATGGTATACCAATCAATGATCTCGACAACAACACAATAAACTACATATGAAACATCATTACAAAAGGAGCAGAAAGCAGTTACTTACCTGCGGTAATCATCGGAAATATTAATGCTTTTCCAGTTCCTGATAACTGCCCTCAGACCAGCTATTTTGAGTTGCTCTTTGAACTAGAACTACAGTCTTGAACCTTGACGGAAAAGGTGCTGTAGTTTGGTCTATTCGTCATACTTAACGGTTGTTTTTAAAGTTCCTCTTCCTATATACAACTTTACTCTAGAAAGTTTACGGGTATGCTTGCGAAGGAGTGCTAAGTTAACACTAGATTCTTTGTTTTTGATCGAAACTAAAGGAAAGGAAAATATTCCTTTCTTTAACAGGGAACTTCCCCCAATTTTCCTACTTAGCTTCCTAAAATTTGTAATAGGTATGCCAAAGAGTCGAATCTTGACATGATAGTCACAATTACAAGCTTTCATTATAATATTTGATTATTTACTAAAAATTAATATCATTTGAGTTGGTACAGAAAGATTCTTTGTTTATTGCACATGAAGATTTGTGGGTAATTAAGTACATGATTCAATGCATATATTTTTCATTAAAAAAATGAATTCTGTTTTTTTTTTTCCTTTAGGATTGCTACCTGTTCATGGAGGATAGGATATACATACATATATATATATATATATATATATATATATATATGAATTTTGGTTCTTTTAAAATAAAAAAAAAAAGTAACGATTTGTGGTTTAAGGGAGAACGCATTGAAATTTTGCAATAATTTTGATTTGGATAAATTCAACTCAATCCCATCCACAGTGGATAAGTGTCTTAATAAAGGATTGGCCTGTTTCTGAAGTTCAATATTATTTGATGATGGCCCTGTTTCATTCATGGGATTGTTTCGTGACTAAAATCTATTGTTAAGTTTCATATAAAATCCCATCCCTTAGAAAAAAAAAAGAACAAAAAGCGTACAAGTTAGAAGTCTAGATTGATTTACTATTTTCATGCTGAATTAATAAGTAAATTTGAATCAAACTGACATCATATTCTCTAACAAGTAGTCTCCACAAAAAAAGAAATTTTTTAAGCCATTGGCTATTACATTAGCCAAAATTCATACAAATTGAAATTGCAATCTGTGGATGTCTCCACATTTGATGCTTTGTTGATCGAACCATGGGTTGGAGCTCTCTTCACGATTCGGCTCTGAATTAATACTATCTGCGTGACTGAGTGGCACAGCCCAAGTGAGTCGTGGATTCACACGCTGGACAATAGTAAAACCAGTGCTCAGGATTTCTTTCCTTCCCACAGGCTTCACAAATGCTTCTATCCAAATAATTCTGTTCAAGAGAATCGTAGGTGAGCCTCAGAGGATGCTTGTCATAGTCGTAAGAAACGGTTCGTGCCAGCAAAACGCAGCTGACATGCAGATTAAAGTTGCAATCATAGCATCTGTAGCTAATAGAATTCCCAAAGTCACCACAGCAAGAGCATCGAAACTCATAATTGTAAGGTAGAGGCATCATAACAAGACTGAGAGGATGTGCATGGGATTCATGATTTACAATGATTGGCAGGTATTTACCTTTCAAGTTGGTTTGAAACAGGCAATCATGGCAACTATCAGAGAATTCTCTACCGTTATATTCACATATGTTGCAGTTCTGCCTCAGCTCCCTTGGGAATAGATATTCAGGTTCCCTTCGCGTTAAATAATCAGGGCAGTTTTTCCGAACCTGCTCTAAGTCAACCTGAAGCTCTGCACAGGCTTTATCGAATATGTATTCATCACATCCAAGAATACATTGATAGCTGGGGCCTGAAATGACTTCCCGGCAGCGCTTGCATTGGAGTCTTGTTTCAATATTTGGCTTATTACTGAAGGTCAGGGCATGTAAGTGCCTGTAAATTCTTTTTTTTACCTTATCCAACTCTTTTAAAACAAAATCCTCCACATCAAACTGCTTTGTGGTATCAACAGTGAGTTTGGAAACTCCTCCAATGTCGTAATCGCTGCTTCCGTCTTTGGGCAGGCACTGAATTATTACCAGGATGGCACCCGCAGACTTTTCCAGATGCTTTAACTTGTCAAAATGGGTGTCTTGAGAGAGTGGTGTGCTAATGATTACCGCGAGCTTCAACTCCGTCAGCTGCATTGAAGCAATTTTAAGAACAATGTCGAAGGATATCTCATCGAAATGTTCAGAAGTTTGGAGAACTGAGGTGATTTCATCTTGGTCAATGAGGGGGTATTTGAGGTGCTTGGCAAGCTTACAGGCTACTTCTACTCTAGGCTTCTGCAAATGGCCTTTTACAGCTAGGATCATTGGACGGTCCACTAGTTCCTGCATGTCAGTCTCCTGTTTTTCCATTTCCTCTCTGGTCTGTTTGCTTATATCTATCTTCCTTCGCTTTTATATTGGCAGGAAACAGATTTACTAATTTTGAGGGACCAGGGTAGGAATATATTTGGTTTAAACATTGAGAAATTCTAGTAACACAGCCAACAAATATTCTTTGCAAATTGCAGGGGCATCTGAAATTATGAATGGTGGGCACTCTCTTTTTCTTTTTTCTTTATACTTTTCCTTTTCTTTTCCTGCTTTCATTTTCTTTTTCAAACTCGTGAAGAGTGCGTAGAAAAAGTAGAAATAAACGGATAGTTGTTACTGTAAACAATTATTCAAATTTTATCTTTAATTGAATTGTTGAAGGGTCTATCCTTTTCCACAAGCTTTGTAAAACCCTTAATTCTATCCTTAATAGGCAAGAAAGAATTTGGAGGTAAAGTTGACAGTTGCAAACAACAATAAACCTTTCAAGTTTCATCTTAATCATACCTTCTCTCTGGAAGCGGTAACCTCTCTACCAGCCAGGCTTTTACCATTGTCGTCAAATCTGCTGCCTGATCAAACTCTAAACAGGCATGAACTTGCGGTAAAGCTCCAATATGATCAAACAATGGCGATGACAATCTCTGATGGACAACGCAATGGCCTCAAGGCTTTGGAACTCGACTGGACTTGCTGCACTGCTGATAGAGCTTTATGCAATACAACGAGTGAACCTGCCAGATGTTGCAACAATTTCAGCTGATCAAAAGCATTAGAACTAATGAACAAGGTGATTAAGCAAATTCGCTTACCTTTGTATTATATTCGTGTTCATGTTTGTTTTCCCCATTCCATCACTCTTTGTTTATGCTGGAGATTTCTCTTGGTATAGATTGGAATGTTTTTTTTTTTTTTGAAAATTAAGTAATTCATTCATCAACATGGAATGAGCAATTCCATGTTAAGAAAATAGGTCAGCTCCGGATTTTAGGTTGCTATCAACCCATATCAACTTAAAATCCAGGCTTTGCAAGCTGAACTCAAAAGAAAGTATCTCAACTATCCCTATCCAAAAAATCCTTTCCAACAAGAATAGTTCTCTTATACGTCAGATCAACCCAAATACAAAAGATCCACTACATCAAAATAAAACCGGATTCAATCAAATCAGTTCTGCACATATCAACTCATTTCAGCAGCCACCTTGAAGCTTTAAGCTGCAGAGGAAATTCAGACCCTTGCAAAACTTATTAGGACTCCAGCTCTCAAGTGCACCCTTCAATCCCTTGAGATTGGCATTCTAAAACATGTTGGTGCAAATGGGTTTAGATGAAATTTAAAGAACCAACAAAATTGACTTCAAAGCGAGCCTTTCAATAGCAATTATCTTTAAGACTTATTTGGCCTCCACTACTCGGCATGCAATGGAGAATAATACGAATAGCCTTAGGGATACAATGAAGCTAATGTCTAACTTCGTCTTACACTTTACGACAAAAGACCGCTAAATACATCCAAGGGTTTACAAAGTTGTTCGGCCATAGAGCTTACTTTCTGCAGCAAGTAGATTATGAGAAATTTGAACGCTTTTGTATTTGATGGGAACTTAAGTGTTTATGTTAATAGAACACAACACTTTTCTTGTTCTTGGTTTTCTACTCTTGTTTTGTTTTTGATTTAATGTGTCAAAATGGTTGACAACAAGTCCTTTATATAGGCTTGCAAGTGTTTTTTCTTCAAGGACACAACCCTTTCATTAAAGCACCATTTTGTCTAAAAGAGATTTTTATATTTGCAAGACACAACTTTCGGATAAAGGTATTATTTCAGTAATCATCTTATGAAAGGACAACTAGTCATTTCATAAAACATAATCTTTGAGTTATAATTTGAAACAATAACTTTTCATATTTAAATTTTGAGTTATGGTGTTTTTTCAATTTGTCTTGTAATTTTTAGATATCATTTTACTAAGGGACATAACTATTAACATGAAAACCTACCTACAATCCAATAGTCACACTATGTCACTTTATGTGATATAACCTTTGAGCTAAGATAGCTTTTCATTATGTGACATAACCTTTGTTTTTGCAAATACACCAACAAAACATTCATAAAGAAGCTTTGGGATGACCTAAAAAAAAAGAACATTGAACCATTGTCCATGATCAAAAGCTTCCAAGCTGGCCATCTTTTAAATTACAGAAAACCCACTACCTCAATTTGTCATCCAGTGATCCTTTTAAACAAGAATACAACCAACAGCCACCCTCACGGACAAGGTGTAATACCCTCTTGCATTTAACACCATCACATTCCCTTTACTCTGATGAACTTGCAAAAAACCAGAACCTTGAGATTACCAAGTCACAACTTTTTGGTTCACCCTTTTATCCTTGCTCCAGTATATTGAGCAACTCCATCACCAGTATGATGCCATTCTTTGTAAGTCTGTTAGCAAGTTTGTTCCTTTCTCTATAGATGTGAATGACATCCCATTCGTAGACACCTTTCTTTAGTTGTTCAATGTGGAGGATCTACTTCCTTATCTTTCATGGAGCTTTAATGGTTTGTTGGCCCATTTGACAACATTCATCGAGTCACTTTCAACAATCAATGGATGTGAATTAGCCTATTTGGAAGTAGAGAAAATAAGGAATGCTTCCCTTATGGCTCTTATTTCGGCTTCACTTGCATCTCCTACCTCAATCAACTTTGACAAGATAGCTTCCATATGTCCATACTCATCCTTCAAGGCACTTCTAATTCCAACCTCCCCGAGATAGCCTTGTGCTGCCTCATCAACATTGAATTTCATCTTGCTAAGAGGAGGTTTGCACCACTACTTAACCAATCTACTTTCCTTTTCCTTGATCAATATTTTCCAATAATTCGAATTACGGTAAGTGTCCAAAACTACACCGTAGTCTTGTGGCCATTTAACTTGGCCCTCATAGCAACCTACAATTTAGTAAGCTTAAAGACTTGACTCTCATCCCACATAATTCCTCAAAACACCATTTCATTTATATGTAACCATAACGACTAGACAATAGAATAAAATGCCATCCTCCATATTTTAATCTCTCCTCTATTGACTTGTAGCATTCCAATATTCAAAAGTTCCTTTATATTGCTAGGGATCACCCATTCACACCCCTATTCCCAAACTCATCTAGACCAAATCTTCCAAGTTTCACAACAATGAACAAACAAGTGGCTTACTATATCAGGTTCTTTATGACATAGGACATGCACTGCCATTTTAGTTGATAGCAGTCTTCTTCTCACCAATTCTTGTTTAATGGCAACCCTTTCATGAATAAATTGCTAGCAAAAAACCTTAACTTGGAATGGGGCTAAATTTGACCATACCTAGCTCCATAATCCTTCCATATCACTATGATTCTATGTGACCCCTTTGCAAAATCCTTGGTGGAGTAAGAACTTGAAGATGAGCCTTTCCACGCCACTGTATCTTCTATGTCTTTACATAGGTGAAACTCTTCAACAACATTTTTCAACTGCTACCACTGATGCTTCTCTTAGTCCAATAGTGCTTTTCTTAGCTCGATATGCCACACCCACTTGTTATCATCCCTCATTCCATAGTCATTAATGAAACCCTTTTTATTTTGTGCAAGTGTATTCATTCTTAGGAACTACTCTCTCAAGGTAGTCTCCTCAACCCATTTATTACTCCAAAATCAAATATATTTGCCGTCCCCCACCACTATCTGTAAATTGGAATTATCCTGCAAGAAAGCTCATTAGTTGGACATAGAGGTTTAATAATGTTCTTCCATGTTGAGGAGTACTTCCTGTTAGTGTTTGTTTTCGATAAGAGGTTGGTAGAATTCACTCTGATTTTCTCATCAATCACTTGTCTCTATAAACTATTCCTTTCCCTACTATACTTCCACACCTATTTATTTAGTCAAGCCCTATTCCTAATCTCCAAATCAATAATGCCCAACCCCTCATTTTCCTTATACCTACACACTCTGTCTTAACCCATATAGTGCACCTTCTATTTTTCCTCCACCATACTTCAAAGGAACCTTTTCTCAATTTTTTCTAACTCATTTTTGACTCTTTTTGGAATTTGGAATAGTGACATGAAGAATATAGGAAGGCTCATTAAAACGGACCTTACGAACTTGATCCTACCTCCCATTAAAAGATTTTGCTATTCCATCCTATCAAACGTGCCTTAAACTTTTCAATGATAGGTTTCCACATCCTTTTCGAGTTATGTGGAATGTCTAGTGGTAATCCCATATAAGTTATAGGTAACTCCCTAACCCTACACCCCAATGTTTCCACACCTTTACTCACCAAATGGGGTTCCACTCCTATACCTATTAAGCTAATTTTATAGAAATTAATTTTCAGCCTTGATATTAACTGGAAACACCTCAAAATCCTTTTAGCATTGAGAAGATTATCCATCCTCAACCTACAAACCATGATAATGTCATCCACAAATTGCAAGTGAGAAATAGAAATCCTAGGACAACCAAACGGAATCCGCTGATAAAGCCTTAACATCTCAACTTTGTTCATTAGTTGGCTTAACCTTTTTGCCACAATATTGAAAAAGAAGAAAGATAAAAGGCAACCTTATCTCAGGCCCTTCTTCATCATCAACGGCTCTGTGGCCACATCATTAATAAGGACAGAGACTTTGGTGGATGACGAATACCTTCCCATCTATTTCCTCCATCTTTACCCAAACCTCAGTTTCTCTATAATGAATTGTAAAAATCCCTAATCAACATTATCGTATGCTTCTTCAAAGTCCACCTTAAAAATAAAACCCATTTCATTCCTTTTCTTCAACGTAGCAATAGCCTTATTTGCAATTAAAGTACAATGTAATAACTATCTACTTTTAACAAGCACAAACTGCTTCTCCCCAATCACCTTACCAATGACCAATCATAATCTATTAACCAATAATTTTGCCACTATTCTATGCAAACTCCCAATTAGGCTGATTGGTCTAAATTCGATTATAGCACATGGATTGGCATCCTTGAGGATGAGAATGATAAAGGAGTTCTTCACACCTTCTTCCAATAGACAATTCTTATAAAAGGTGTTCAAACCTGCCATCACTTCATCTTTGAGAACGACCCATTGGTTTTTGAAAAAGCTCATGGTGTTTTGTTCCCATCACAACTACATAACATATCCCATATTTCTTCAATAGAAAACCTTTTTTCTAAATGGTTAACAGCTCTTTCACTTAACTGCTTGAATGGACATAAAAAATCTCTTAAGGTTGACACTTTCCTTTTCTTATAAAAAAAAAAGTACCTAGCCACTTCTTTTTTGACTCCCTCTGGTTCCTGTGCTTTTAAGTTTTCGACTTTTAGTTGTGTGATCAAGTTGTTCCTCATTCTTACTAAAGCCATCATATGAAAAAAATCTAGTATTGTGATACCCCTTAAAAATCCACTTAATCCTAGATTTTTGTTACCATTCGCGTTCTTCTACTTTACGTAATTCCCAAAGTTTAGCTATTTTTACCAATAATCTCATTCCTTAACTCTAACCTTCTATTCCCTTATTGCTATTGAATATTTAAGTTCTTGCAACTTAGCCTCTAGACATGTTATTTTCTCGTGAGTTTTCCCATACACTCTTTTCTGCCAATCTTTTAGAATTGGTTTTAATCCTTTCAATTTCTTCCATAGCCCCACTTTGCTTTTATGGTCCTCAACAGAGTGCTTCCAAAAATCTTGAAGCACCATCTGAAAATTACTTTATTCCACCCAATGA